AAGGACTTATCTTGTGTTTGCACCGCCCAATGCCAGTTTGCATTCCTCTGTGTAACTCCAACATTGCACAGATGCCCGTATACACCGATGTAACTAGGTGGTTTTCCAAATTTTCGCCGTCCATGGGTTTTGAACTCCCAACCTACCACTTGGGGGGTTGACAACTTATTCACTTCACTAAGTCGCCACACCCCAAGCCAAACTTAATATATCAAAAACAGGTTATAGTTCTTTTAAACTATCTGAATTAAAAGTCTAAGAACAAAATAAAGCTATACTAAAATACTAAAGATATTTTATAAAGTAGATACTAGAATATAGATAAACTTTATAAAAATAAGTTCTTGTTAATAATTTGTAAAATAGATAGGTAGTTAACAAGAAGAACTTCTAAGACTTATCAGTAAATATTTATTCTAAAATATGTAATAACTTGAAAACAAGTTCAAAAAAAATACTATGCTGTTCAAATAGTATAATAATTAAGTATATACAGAAGTATAATAGTAATTAGATGATTAACAAGGCAAATAATTAAAAGATTTAAATAAATAATTTTTTAGTAAATCATAGATACAACATCTAGTATAGAACCTTAAAATGAACTACTTAAATAAACAACCAAAAGTTGTATATATAGCTAACCATATTCTTATTTCTGTAAAAATAGTTGTAAACTAATCTTACATATATTAATAAAATAACTACTATAAAGTACAGTTTTTTTTTAAAAAAAAAATTATGCTTTTTTTTTTGTTTTTCATTTTTAAATAAAAATTGATTATATACAAGTTATATGTATAACAAATAATTTATATATTTTAACACCAAAAAAAAACAAAAATAATTTATATATATCTTACTTTTAATTTAATTTCTTTTTTTAATATCAAACCTATATATTTTTTGTTTTTTAAATAAACTTGTTCAACATAAAATTTTACATATAATTGTATTTTTAAAATTAAATTTTTTTTTTTATAAAATTTTACTAATCAAATTTTCAATTTTTACAAAATTTTAAAAAATTATTCTAAGTAATTTTATTCTACTATTTTTTGATAAGTTTAATCTCAAAATTCAAAAATAAATTAATTTCTAAGTAGAAAAAAATCTTGGGCTTAAAGCTTATAATAAATTTAAATATTTTTATTATTAAGTTTTATTATATCTTAACACTCACATATCAACAGATGTGGCATCTTTCCTGACTGATACAAAATAAATTCATCTGATAATATAGTCGACGATAAATCCAGTTAATAAGGCGGTCACCAAAGAAGACACAAAATTAACCTATTATTAATTCTAATTAGAATTACTTGATTATTGAAAGAAGTTTTTAAAAAACTTCTTAAAAAATTCTATACCTGATTATTATCCAATAAATCGTATCCACTCACTAACTTGGTTTCTTCAGTCATACTATATGTAACCTTGCGGTATTTTTCAGAATACATAGAAACTTGAACAGTCGCACCCAATATTGAATCTATAATTGATCCAATTAACCCTGCTATTGAAGCCACCGGAATCAATTGAATATATAGTCGATTACATCCATCCGCAAAATAAATGGATATCATTGCAGATATACCAATAATCAAACCACCCAAAACAGAAGCGAATAAACCTAACGGAGATACACCACCATTTGTTCCTGGAGGAACCTAAAAAAATTTTCTGATTAAATAAGCTATTAAAGAATGAAATTGCAAAAAACATGCATACCTTTTTAAATGTAGTTATTAAAAATGGCCAGCCTTTATTAAGAATACCAAGTTCGCTGGCCCACTACAATAAACATAAATCTTTATTATTAACCAGTATTAAAGGTTGATATAACTAAACTAGTTAGGGAAGTGCCATTTATTACGTAATTTCAAGAGGGAGAGGGGATGTTAGCAGGCATATCACATCTATATGTTGTATGTAAAAATTATGATTGGTAGCTAATTCGATTATCTAGGAGAAAGGGGTTTGATCCTCTAACAAAAAGAAAAGGGCTGCTAACGGCTTGGCTTTAGCTTTGAGGTATGGCTATTGAAGCAGTGGTTTGAGTTATAACCTGAACCATAGCTCAAATAGTAGCTCTAGTAGCCATGGCTTGAGCCAAGCCATAACCAAGCTATGATTCAAATCTAAACTCAAGCTGCCATCTAAGGTATAGCTTGATTACGATTCAAAGCTACTAGATCAATTGACTTGGCCGACTTAACTCCATTATACAGCTCGAGCCGCTCTCAAATAAGTCGTTAACAGCCCTAAAAATTAAATCACCTAATAAACGGCACTCCTTTATCAGGTCCGGATGAAACATGTCAATTACGTAAAAGTCACATGATGCGAGATCAAATGGAGCAAAAATTTGCATAATTTTGTGGGTCAGTGTACAGAGTCTTCTTGAATATTTTATAACAGAGAAACCTACAGACATTATGTTAATATGAGGGTGAAATCCGCTTTTGCATAATAAAAAAAAAACATGGGATTTCACCCTAACGTGATCTATATATAGGATTTTACTAATTTACAGTCTCATCAAAGCAGTGACCCGTAGAATTCTGAGCAAAAAATAGAAATTTTACCGTATCTCCATTACATGTCGAATAATGTCTATCATATGATGGATATTAAATCCATAAACTATAGGTAATTTGCAAAGTAGAGCCAGAAAAAAATATACTTTACCCGATATACATCCAAAATAGCAGTCTTGACCCACGATCATCTAGTAAACATTTTAATTGTCCGCCATAGTAATGTTGATGAATTATGCAAATAATTGTTCCCGTAAAAGCGTTACATACAACTTGCATAGCAGTCCTTTGACCACCTACACGCAATAAAAAATGAATTCGCATTATTTGAATGCTTTTCCTCGAAATTCATGAATTTGGCACAATTTAACAAGGCTTGATTAGAAAGTTCACACACCATCCTGATAATCTTCTTCAAGTTGTTTTTTTCTTTCCGCTTTATACTAAGGCATGTATATATATATATACACTTATATACAAAATCAGGTAGAAAAAAATAATGCAGTAAAATTCACAGTAACTTACCTTAGTTAACCCAGATCCAGTAAAATAAAATACAAACAATACCACTGTAAACGTATAGCAATTATTTGACAAAGTGATAATACCTACTAATAAAGCACATAGTGCGCCAGATTTTGTTAGTGATTTTTTACGTAAACCATGTAATGCTAGTACTAACGACAGTGCGATAGATATTAATATATGCATTTTTTCTTGGTTCTCCTGGAACAAGAGAGGAGTGATTTTCTGTGCTCACCTAGGGTAGTTGATAAAATACTAGCGTCCGAACTTTAACGTTCACGTTTTGTAAAAAATAATGTTATTTAGTAACACAAGAGTCAAATATAGATCGCGTGGGAAAGTAATGGTTAACAAATTTAAGGCCGAATTTTAATCTATACCTCGAGGTCGAGGTAGGAACGTCCTGAGTGCCCCGATCTTGTAGATCGTTCAAAAATTTTTTTTAATACCTTTTTTCGGAAGCTCGGGTGGCTTAACTCACAAGTAAAAGGAACAAGTGCACTAAGTAAACTTGTAGCCTTCGCTTAGCCATTGTTATGGGTAGATTCGACCCTAGGACCTTGAGGAAACGTTGCGTAACGACCCACGATCTGCACCACGAAACCCGTCATACCACGATGCCCGCGACCCAAGACAAATCAAGCTCTTCATTAAGTGACGGCGCCGATCCATTGAAGAAAAAGCCACCTGCCCGATTTGGAATCCAACTGTCAAGGTAATATTACCTTGACAGGTAAAGTTTGTGGCCGTGTCAATGCGTCGTCATATGTTGGGTTGTATGCCGTTGTGGGATGATGGAAAAAATGTTAAAGTAACGACAAATAGGTTAAAGGAAAAAGAGAAGAGTGTTAGTAAAAAAGGGAAAAACGGTCTATGACAATGAGGAAAAAGGTGTCAAAACCGTATCCCAAGTTCCTCCTTTTTCCCTCAGAAATGTTCTATAAAAATAGTGCCTCCCCGCCTTATAGTAAAAGAGAATTCCATCCTTTTAGCATAGAACACACAGAACCGTCTTGTAATAAACAACTGAATCGCCTTTTAACTTGTAACTCGCCTATAAACAAATAAATAAAGTTTATAATTAATAAAAGTGCTAATTGTTAAAATAAAGTAAACAAATAAATAAAACCAACACACTCCTTTAAACTCCTTGTATTACGTTCTCAAGGCCACTCTAGACCAATGCCAAATCGAATCTGCCTCATCTGCCTTGAGTGACATTATGCGACGTCGACGAATATAAAGTGACAATCCGTCGCATTTCTTCTTGTTCCTATAGTGCCATTTCTGCCTCTGGACCCTGTATCATCATATAACATATTTGCTTAATCCAACAGCATTTCATATTTTATCTACTTAACAAAGTTATGTCTAAAATTACTAAATGTAAATGCAAAACTACTGAATCTAATAGATTCTGTCCATTAAAGAATAAAAAATGGAGGCAGATAAAAGAAATGGCTTAACAAAGGTAACATGAGAAGAGGGTATTATTCTATGCAACTTGTGTTATATGAATTTAGTAGAAAATTCATTACAAAAGCTTAAAAAAAGTACTAAATGAGTAAAAGTTTTTGTTAAAGAAGCAGAAGATATAAATAAATATATAGAAGTTATAGATATAAAAGAAGTTCCAAATCAAAATGTAAAAACTGAATGAAAGATATAGAAAATCTAAATATGATTTATCTTGTTAGGATTATTGAGACCATGGCAAGAGTCTTATATAAAAGAGAATAAATAAAAAAAGAAGATTTCATATATTTGTATAATGAACTAAAAAATGTATTTTAAGCAAATAAAAATCTTAACAATTTTTTTGATTAGTTTTATTTAGTAGCAAAGCCTTTTGAGTGCATTAAAAAAATTATAAATTATATGAAAAAGTTAATCATTCATATTTGTTATTTTTTTGTATTATTAAATAATACAAAAATTAATGTTTTTAAGTTTGATTTAGTATTTATTTGAATTCTATAAATATAAGTACTAAAGGTTTAAATATATTAATAAATCTTGATGTAACTACAATATCAAAGAGCAATAAATTAAAAAAAGAAAAAGGTTTCTAATATTTATGAAAAATATATAGAAAATTCTTTTTTAAAATATTTAGATAATATTTTTGTATTGAATATTAATGATTATCACAATATTTATATTTTATAGCAGTTTAATTTTACTAATAATAGAATGTAACAACTTAGTAAAGTGGATAAGTTATCAACCTTCCAAATAGTAAGTTAGGAGTTCAAAACTAGTAACAGTAAAAATTTGAAAATTTACCTATGTTATATCAATATTATGAAAGGTAAATAGTATTACAATAATGGCATTCTGTTAATCAATTGGAATCAGATGTTTGTAATACAATTGCACTAGCATGACTGGCAGGTTATAGGGTATCTGCACAATATTAGAGTTACTTAAAGAACTGCAAACTAGCATTAGGCAGTGCAAATTCAAGATAAGTCTTTATAATTATATAAATCTGTGAATTAAGAAAACTGAAGTCTACTTGTGAAGACCCAAATAAAAAGATAGTACAGATCTTTGACAGTACTACTGTAAAGGCTAGACTTAGGAAATAGATACCAATATGAAAAAAATCAAGCAAGCAAGAATTTCAAATAAGAGATACTACTAATCAGGTTATTAGAAGTCTGAACTAAAAAAAAAAGATCTTGGGTGCAAACTTTAAAGTATCAAAAACAGGTCATAGTCCTACTAGATTATCTAAATTGAGAGCCTGAAGTCAGAAAAGTGGTATACTATAAGTACTAGGAATATGTTGTAAATTGGTGCTAAGGTTTAGATGAACTTTACAAAAATGAGCCCTATTAATAAGAGACTAAATATGAGTAGTTAGTTAGCAAAAGACCTTCTGAAGCTTTACAGTCAGATGACACAAGTTAAATGAATGAATAATAGATAAATAATAGAAAAAAAACTGCCATTATTCTACCCTATATCTACCAAATAATAGCAGCATAATAGCAGCATAACAGCAAAATAATAATAAAATAACAGGAGGTTTATCAATATAAGTAATATAATAGTAATATAATAGAAAATAATAGAACAGTTCTATTATTTTACTTTTAGTCTTTGTAACTAAAAGTAAAATAATAGAACTATTTTATTATTGCTATTATGTTACTATTATATTACTTATATTAACAAACCTTCTGTTATTTTACTATTATTCTGCTGTTATATTGCTGTTATACTGCTATTATTTGGTGAATATAAGGTAGAATAATGGCAGTTTTTTTTTCTGTTATTTATTTATTATTCATCCTTTATTTATTCATTTGATTTATATGATATACTTTAAAATATATAATGGCTTGATAGATGTACAGACAGAAAGGTTACAGTTAGATTAAACAGTACTTAGATATATAAAACTTGTGTACTATTTGTTGATGTAAATATAAAGATCAAAGTATTTAAATAGGTAATTTCTTAGTAGATTGCAGATATAGCAGTTAGTATAGAACCTGCTATATAAGCAGACTACTTAAAAATAGACAACCAAAAGTTGTATATATGGCTAGTTGTATACTTACCTTATACAAGTTATATAATTATAATTAAAATACAATAAAGGCAATAGCTGCTAATAACTATGGCCTTAGTATAAGCAAAAAAAAAAACTTTACTAATACATCTTATTCAGTATATATAGTAACTATTATTGTAAATTTATATTCTATATTAGCAATATTATATAATAAAGCATTAATTTAAAAATTATTGATTTATAAAGCACTTTAATAAACAGTTTATTTTTTTTTCAGTATTAAGGTGACCTCTTTGGTTCAAGCTTTTTATTAATACTTATAGTGCATACATGTTTATATAGACATATCTATAATAAACTATTAGACAAGTATACAACTGGCTACATGTGTAACTTTTCTATATTACCTATTTAAGAAGTGTGCCCAAGGGTTCCTCACTAGTTGCGGTACCTAACACCCCTGCTTAGGTGTTCTATTTAAACCCTCTGATCTAATCCTAGTATTAATTTCACCAGGTCACAGACCCGGATCTATTTGCTATTAACCATAGGACTATAATCCTTAGACTATTTTTATCCTCAAGGCAAACCTATCAGAGTAAGCCATATTCTCTTTTATCGCTAACCTGATTTAATGCTATGGCCAAGACTAACACTTGCAGTTAGGATTATCTCTTAAACTGCTATTACTCTTGTAAAATTCATCCAAATCCTGGTACCCATCTTTCCGACTTCTTCTTTATTATCCCCTACTAGCCACAACTCAAAACTAACTGACTCTTCAGACTCCCAATCCAGATGGCCTGATATGGTATACTTATGTATCCTTTTCCTCTAGCGATTCTGACAGCCTGGTTGGTTATATGCTCCTCTACACATCTTTGTCATCTGGTTTATCTGACAGTTCCTATGAAGGTGTTTCAT